AACATTCTACTACCCAATAGCAGTGATAAATATATAAACCTATATTTTATTTAATCTTATTATGGTTTGAAATATTTTTCTGGTTTCCAGGGAAAATTTTCATATAATTTGTTAAACATTCCTTTTCCACTTTTAAAAGTGATGTAATGGAATAATCTGTCAATCCCATGAGTAACTACACTATAGGTATCTGTAAGTCAACAGACTACAGAGATTAGATGAGATCTGTTGAGTATGACTCAAACTTACGTGAGAACTACTGACCTTCCAAAAGTAGCACTCACTACTGGATTGACTTGCGACGACCTTGTGCATAACTGTTACCTTTATTCTTATTGTACTGGTTTTTACAATAAATCTTTACTTATTTTATCCACCTTGTTTTTCAAGTATATATTCCTATTAGCAAGGAATATAACAAAAAGCCATTATTAAAGAATAAGAATATTTGTTGTTTTAAATGCTTCTTTCTATATCTACATTGTATTCTTTTATTGGTTTTCATCTGTCATGTCTTTAAAGTTCAGTGACTGCCTGTTCAGTTTTCTCCAAGTATTGTGCTTTCTCACATCAATGTGTGATGGAATATCATATCTTTCTTATTAGTTTTGAAATGTATTTATGATTTCCCCAAAATGAATATATATGTCATTTCCTAAATTAAATGATATTTTATCAATACGAAATTGTTAGTTTTTATAGTTTGGTCTTCTAAGATTTGTAGTTGTTTTTTTCAGTTTCTCTGGTTAAGTATTTCTGGCTTAAAAATATTTGTTGTATTTCTTGTGCAGTTGTGTTGGTTGGAGATATACAATTTAATTGAAGATATTACCCATAAAACCTACCAAAGAAGTACAATGCCTATGCATACACAAATCTGTCAACCACAAAATAAAACTCTTTGATAATAGCCTATGAAAGTTAAAAGTGCTTAAAAGAAATTGGACAATTAAAATTCTCCTTGGAAACCAGAAAACTGGTGTGGACCAGAGAAAAATAAATCTTCTGAAATAACTTATATTCGTCTTCAACCAAGGGCACACACACAAAAACACACATATATATATATAATTTTTTCTATATCAAGAACAATTTCAAGGAAAAACTATGACACAGTTTTTACCTTTCGTACTTCACTGAAGTAAAATGATTTTTATGTTAAGGCAACTACACATGCACACAAAGGAAAGGGGATACTAAGAATTAAAAAAATATTTTTAGCATATATTTTGGGTATATAGTCTAGCTGATTTAATTTAGCTTGTTTACTTTTGTTTCCATCACTTTTGTTATGAAATATCTCACATTGTAATAATAGATCTATGAAGAAAAGTTAAATGTTGTAAGAAATTACTGCAGATGGTTTAGATTTTAAAAAGCTTTCTAAACATTTTGATTTTAGTACATTACTTTGACTTTTAATTAGTGCAGCTTTTTTACATCAAAATTATGGTCAGTCTCATAATGGTGGGAAACTAACACATTGGTTGTGTTGTTTTGTAAAAGATCTTTTTGTGTTTATATAATCCTCTATTTAAATAACTTAAATTTAAGTTTAAAATTATCAGCATCCTGCTTCCTTTGAGCACATGTGTAGTCACATTAATGCATACATCACTTTAGTCTGACAAAGTCCCAAAGGATGAAATGCATTGCACAAGAACTTTTTCCACTTCGTCATAGTTTTTTGATAATATATATATATAAAATAATTACATGTTGCAGTTAATATAATTTAGGTTGTTTTTTAATAAGTGTTCTGCATCAGAAGCTCTCTAGTCAAATACAGAAGGCTGACTCATAAAAATGTTTCAAATTCTGGTTTTAGTAAGATTCCAAAATAATGGTAACTGAATATTTATTCTTAAACTGCTAGTTGTCAGAATCTTGCTAAGACCACACTTCTAAACATTTTTTATCAATATAAACTGCAGAAAATGACAAAGTGTAGAAGGTTTAATAATAAAAACAAACAATCCAACATGAACAAAATTCCATCCAATTTAGTAACATTAAATATGTTCCACAATTTAAAAAACACAAAAACTTACACTGCAAACTAATGCATTAAGATGAAATAGTTGAAAAAAAAAACACATGACATGACAGCCAAGAAATCCTCTCAACCTACAGATGTATTCTTGAATATCTTAAGAAAACCAAAAGGAATCAGAAAACATTGAACAATTTGTTTAAATTAACTCCAGAAAGCAGAAAAAATGCCCCAACCAAAGAAGAAAATGAATTACAAAATCTTAATGAATTTTTGTTGGTCTTCAACCAAATCTACATACTTGAAAACATTTTATAGCTATCTAGATGGTAATAGTATTCTTTACAAGGAAACATTTGGAATTTATTGACCAAGCAGCAAGTACTGATTTTGGTTGAAATTTATAAAATCTTTCTCTCAAAAGAATAGGTTTCTGAAGCCCAGTAATTGTTATTGCTCTTTCCAGTATTGATGAGGGTTTCCTTCCTAACCTTTTATTTGAAGCAGTGTGGAATGCCAACATCTTTATTATATCATAATTTTCTCTTCTAGTTACATGCGTTATCCATTTTAGATGTTGTTGCTGTTGGTAGTCCTCAAGTGATGTGGTTTCTGTAATTTGGTACAATATATAGTAACTGAGAATCAGATCAACCTGGTAAGAGACCTAGTGGTGGTTTCATGTGATGTAGTAAGCACCAGGAGTTACATCCTCTTCCACAATTGGCTGTTGAGATCTTTACTTACGAAACCAGACAAGATGAAAACACATGCACATATATATATATATATATATATATATATATATATATATATATTTATTTAATAGGCCAGTTAATAAAATTTGAGGAATAAAAAGCCAACAAAATGATAACAATATTAGCAATAAAAGTTATGTTATAATATTTATTATATATTAGCCTTTTGACTAAATTGAAGCATAAAGAGAAAGATTTTAAAGTCGGAATTTTGTTTCATTATTATATATATATATGGAAAAATCTATTCTTTTCCTCTTGTCTCCTCTACAGATACACATTTTATCTGAGAGAATATATATATATAAGAGAGAGAGAATGGGAGAGATGGGATAATTTAATAATGTGAGTGTTCTAATTTCATTAATTTTTTTTTTCTGAAAAATTAAGGAATGCTCTAAAACTAGAATTACAACTAATTTTTTTCTTGATTCTTCTATTTTGGTTTTTGTCTTGCCTTGAAATTCTTAACACTGAATTGATTGTCTTTTATTTTCAGACTGCAACACTGGATGGTTTGGAAGTGATTGCAGTAAAGAATGTCATTGCATCAACCCAGAACAATGCAACACAGACAGTGGTGAATGCAGAGGTGAATGTATTCCAGGTTACATGGGACCAAACTGCTATCAAGGTAATGGACATTGGAAGTGAGGCTTACATTTTAATCGTATTGCCACCCCTATTTTTGCATGATTAATAGTTATTTTGTGTTTTATGTATGGTTTGAACATATTTTTCTGTTTATTAGAAACTTTATTTTATCAGTCGCGGAGTCAGTGATTTAAGAGAAATAATATCAGTTTCCCTTTACTATTATTTGAAATATCATTTGAGTGAATACTGTAAATAATGAAGAGTAAATGTTTTCTGAAATTCTGCATTAATCATTGGCATCAATCCATCAGTCATTCAGACTTATTTTTCTTCTTACTTATTTGTACATGTGACAGCATTCGCCCTGGGATGGCTGACTGGAATTTGTACTCAGCCCTCCAAATCCTCAATCCAAGCCGCTATCCATTACTCCACCGTGCCTCTTATTTTCATCCTTGTTGATTGCATCACTAAATTTTACTTTTGACATTCTTTGGTCTTCTCTAAATTTACAAGGTTTTATTTTTAGAGATAGCTCAAGAAGTAGGTTTTCCTGCAGGTATTGGTAATCCATGTCTTCCTTTAAAAGCCATGTCCTTTTAAGACATAAGCAGTTATGACTCTGCATAACTTGATTTCATTCTGTAACTAGCTGATGGGAAAATAAATGAATTCTCTTCACTTAGAGCATTATCCATTAAATCACCTGCACATCCAAGCTTACAGCTCCTGGTATTCCCAGACAGTCATCCATCTAGGTACTGCCTATGCTCGATGTTGCTAAACATTGGTGATCTACAGGAACCAGTGTTTCAATGTGATATGACTGCAAGCTATGCAAAACATTGTCAATGAGTGAAGGTAGTTAAAATTTATAGCAGTGACAAGGGAGAAAAAAACATTTTGACACTCCATTCAGTATATGTAAATTATGACTGTATTCATTGTTCCTGGGAAGATAATGACATGGTTTCCTGCTGACTTCTTCTCAATTTCAAATTTATTGTCCTAACTCAGGACTAGTTTCTCTATCAAGGATAGACAGTCCAGTGCTACCAACTATTTTATCCATAGCTGGTGGGGAAAAAGATGAATTCTCTTTACTCAGTGCATGAATGCAAAGAGAATACAGCAGTCTCAGCTAGGATGTGAACCTGGTTTACTGTTTTTTTTCTGTGTTGATAACCATTATGCCACCTGTGCATCTACTATTTTGTATGAAATCAGTCTATGTAGCATTTAATCAGATTCACTGGTAGCCTGGTTATACTTTGATAGCTGAATCTAGAACTACCTATGAAGAAAAAAATCCTGCCAAGATTAATTAAACCCCCACTGAGAAGACAAAAGATAGTGCAAAACATCTTATTGATTGATTCATTTTTTATGGCTTATCAACCCTTTGCAGGTTATTTAAAGCCAGAAAATATTTTTAGATTTTAAGAATTTTTCATGGTGGAGGAATAATAAGGTTTTAGCGATACAAGTTTTAGCAATTAACCCATAGCTGGAGGGTAGAAGAGGTGAATTTATACCTTCCCAGAGGGTATCTGTGCATAAGTGAATATAATGAACCAAACTGAAATTGGTACTTGGCTCTTTGATTAACAACTCCAAGTCATTATCCATTATACCACCTACACATCAAAGCTTATAACACCTGGCATTCCCAAACAGTCACCCATCTAGGTACTGACCAGGATCGATGTTGCTTAACTTCAGTGATCATACAGGAACTGGTGTTTCAATGTGATATGACTGTAAGCTATGCAAAATATTAATAAAAGAATATAAAAAATAAATGTTAATAAAAGTAGCAAGCATGCAAATAAGGGTCAAAATAAGTTGCGAAATAAGGAAGAATTAGTCCAATACAATTAAAAACATTGGATTTCAGCCAAATAAAGATGCAATAAGTCACTCAAAATTTGTGGATTTCTTTTCATATGGTGACACCAAAGGGTAAGGTTCTTCTCTGAACTGATGATTGGTAAGTTTTTGACTGAACCTTCCCCATTGGTTACTTTCTTGCAATTTGTATTTGAAAACACATCACAGAAATAAAAATCTTACTTTCTGAGTAGATATTTTTACAGAGAAAAAATAATTAAATGATTTGCTAAATTCCATGTGGAATATCATCGAAATAAACATAACAAAAAGAACAAGCAGAGTTGGACCTTAATGTGCACAAAAACACAAGTGTCAAAAGGACTGTTTTTCCCTTGACACCACTATTATTTTAACTACCTTTACTTCCTCAACAGTGTTTGTTTTAAAAGAGACAATTAGAATTTTAATAAAGCCTGAACATATGAAAGTGAATTTATACATTTACTTTGTTTTTTGTGAATCGACAACACAAATATTAAATACTATTTATTAGATTGTTTATTTACACAATTTATTTATTATATTGTTCACTGGAATGGTTGGTAAAACATTGGCTAATTGCCAATTGATTCAAACTTCATAAAATAGCAACTAATAATTTTCATATGGTTGGTTCATATATTTTGATACTATTTTAAATTTTTATAAATCTATCAACAAAAAAAATTATTTTCATATTTATTTCTTTATAAATTAGTAATTGATAAATATTGTATTGCATTAATTTTAGTATAAATATGTTAGATTTTGTAAAGGGTTGTAAATATAAAATTATTCTTGTAAATGAATAATCTAAAAACTAGTATTTTAATATTTTTGTTCTAAATTTTCAAGAACAAAAAAATGGATAAATTCACTTTTATCATATTTTATATTTTATTAAAATTCTAAACATTGCTTTTTAAAACAGTAAACATTATCGATGAATGAAGGTAGTTAAAATAATAGTGGTATCAAGGGAAAAAAATGTCCTTTTGACACTTTGTTCTTTTGCAGGCACAAAGATCCAAGTTGCCGAAAAACAATCCATTTTCTCACAAATTCTTTTTTGCATATGTATACACACACAGCCTAATGATGAAAATAGTATTTATTAAATATGTACTTTTTAACATAATCTCCTTTCTTGTCAGTATACTCAAGATGAATATTAGTTATATAGATCAAAAGTTATTTCCAGCCTAAATATGTTCATCTTTGTTGCTATGAGTGCAGACTTCTTCAAGTGTCTTTCAATATGGGTAATCTTCAAAAAATTTCAAACCGAACCTTTTATTCAGTCTACAGAGGTAGATTTTTTTCATTCTATTGTCCATGTCTTGTGACATCTTGTTTTGCTTAATTATTAGTCCTACTGAGTATATCTCTACTACCCAAACCATGGACTAAATTTATTATTATTTCACCAAATTAACTAACCAGTATTTTAATTCTCTTGGTTATTGTTCTATGAGACAATCCTGATGTTACAACTTAGAATTTTCTTCTTAATTAATAGCTACCATATGGCATTTATATCTATGCTGGGCATACTGAGGAGTTCGTAATAGCTAGCATATGTGCTGATTGTTTCAGACATTTGATATTCAAATTCTTACTTTTTAGTATTTTTGTTTCATTCCACAGGGATAGTGACCACACTTTTTCTTCTGTACCTGATCAGCCATACATGTTTTCTTGTTTGACTCTTAATTAAGGCTTTTCCACGTTCATTAGCATTGTATTCTTGACTCTAACTGCAAAGGATGTAATACACAGTTCATGGTCATTGAATATTGTCCTGATGTCTTAGGTACTGCAGATATTTCAAATCCTTAATAACACATTCTTGAGATAAGGGAAGCAAACCATGACATTTTTCCAATTCTCCAGTTCCTGTTTGCTGAAGCTGGTTGTCTCCTATTGGTATTTGTCTGGGTCACTACTTATAATTGGATGATCTCTTATATGATGCTCTGTCACTGACAGGAATTGAAGTTAAGATATTGTCCAGTGAAAGTTGGCTTGTGACATATTCTCTGTGAAAATTAGTAGTACATCCAGGAAGGTGAAAGGAAAAGGGTGTTCAACAAATCTTGTGAAATAAATAATAAACAGAGGACACCTGAAGGGATTTGCTAGGCTATGGTAGAGTTCTCAGTAGGCTTAGCATAGATATAAATACCATATAAGAAACATAAAATGTTTCATAAAATTGAGGCATAGCAAAAAAAGGAAGGCTATACAAAAGAAGTGGCAGTGGAGCGAGCTAAGCTTGACAGGACGGCTGCAGCAGCACAGATATAAGAAAATTATAATACTCGAAGTTATAGCATAAAGATTGAATCTTAGCGCACATAATGGTGAAAACATTGTGATTGTAAGAGATGAGGATATTAGTTTGATGGTAACCAGTATAAATAACACTGACTAATAAAATTTCTTTGGCATATTAGGTGAGATTGGAGTATATTCTGGAGTATATTGGGGTCATTGAATTCAAGGAAAACCTTGGTTTTGTCTAATTGGCTCTAGTTTTTAAGATATTGATGAAATGCATTTTTTTGTCTGCAAATCTGTACACAATCATACCAATTAGATTACTGTGTTAGTGGTGCATGAATAGTTTAACAAAACCACATTGATTATTTTATTTAGGCTATTAATTGGTAATCAATGTTGAATAAATGTATCACTTTTATTTAAATTTTCTGATTGTATATGAATAATTAAAATGTGATATTTACTTACAGCACGCTACTGTTTTAACAATGAACAAAAACGAGAGAGAACATTTCCCAATAGTATCCTCATTTATTACAAAAGATTTATGAAAAATTATAAAAACAATTTCCAATCAAATTTTACACTGACAAGTTTACAAGTAAACTCTCAAAATACATAATTTAACCTATTCAACATAATACTTTATAAGCCCAATATCACAAGCTGTCAAGGTCATTGTAGTTACATGACTTCCTTTTTTTTTGTTTTCTGAGTGCAATCACACATATAGGGCTCAAGCAGTAATCAGACATCATGTGGGTGTTCCATTGGCCTTGGGAGTGGATTTTCATAGTGATTCTTTCTCCAAGAGCTTGGAAGTTTTTTGGCATCACTTTGGTAGTAAACTGAATTCTTTTTGCCCAGGAAACCTTTTGCAATTGCAACAAAAGAAGTTCATGCAGCAGCCTCAATCTCAGTCATGCGGAAGACAAAACTTTCATCGTTAATCAATTTTCTTATTTGTGTCCTGTAAAAGTTCCTGCCTTCAGTTTCTCTTTACTCAGTCCAGGAAATTCTGAGCAGATATATCTGAAGCATGTACCATCTAGATCTATTGCCTTGACACATTGTTTCATTAGGCCTACTTTGATATGTAGTGGGGGCAGGATGATGTGATCATGGTTAAACAGAGGTTCATTTATGACATTTTTCATTCCTACAACAGGCTCTTCATAAATCAGCCAGTTCTTCTTTTCCCAGTACTAAACATTGGCTCTATTATCCAGTAGACAAAAGATACATGGGTACTTGGTAAAAACCACCTTGCTGCACTAACAAAATGTTAATTATTTTAAAATCCACACATATCCTCAACTTCTGTTTATCATAACACAGTTTTTGTAAAACAATCTTTACACTTGTGTTGTGCTCCTTCAAGATCACTGAATGGCCAATTGGGATACAAGCAAACTTGGCACCATTGTGCAGCAATACACACTTCAATCTTCATTTACAGCTGGCAATAAATAAACGCCACTCAGCTGAATTGTACTAAGGCAGTCCCATTGCTAAAAGAATGCCTTGGACATTGTTGCAAAACACAAAGTTGTCTTCTTCACTAAAATAACTAACAAGTTCCTCATCTCTGTTACTGTAAAATGTTATCTTAGCTTTAGAGTCAAGAACACGATGCTTATTGAGATGCGAGTCCAATATCTCAACTGCCTCTTTTGACAAAAAAGGATCTCTAACCAAGTCATTCAACTCTACTTATGCGAAAATCACCCAAATAAAAATGATAAATTCTACTACTGCTGTTGCTGTCAGAAGTTTCATTCATTGCTTCTGCAATATTCAGAATGTCATCCTCTTGATCAAGATCAGGCAAGGAAGTAAAAGCTAGAATAAGAAAATCACTACAATGTGGAACTGGCAGTTTTGCAGTTTTAATATCAGGATAGTGCTACAACTTCTTGAGATGGTTCCATCCTGACATGTTCATCATGATGACTTTGGGACTTTTGCCACACCATTCGTACCACAAATTTCATTGACTTTACATTTGGTCCAAAACTGAAGAGTTTCAACATAATTCTTACAACCTTTGAGAAGCCCATGACTTATCTTAATCCCCAGTATTCACACCAAAGAAAGATTGATAAGATCTTCTGGTTGAAATCTCGAACATTGAAACAATCCTTTTTTACCATATATTCACCCCATAGTAGCAGAAAATGAAAGAGCCATTGTGACAAAATTTATGCTTAGAATTCATGATTAAAGTTTTATATACTTGAAATATAGTGACACTAGCAGAGCCTGAAACTTGTAGCAGCAGTTTAGCTGGAGCACTCTGACATCTATATTGTCATTTGTATCTGTAACAAGGACAATGGTACTAAGGGTTTCTCTTTAATATCTAAAGAATTATGCAATTTTAAGGAATGTAAACTGTTATATATCTGGCTGATAGGATAAACAAAGGATATAAAACAAAAGAGCAATTGTATTGTAAATACAAACAATATTTATTTTTTGTCTCAAAAAAATCAATCCATGTGCATGTGTTGAAACAGCAGCCATCTTGTTTCTCCCCCTGTCCAGAAGTATTCTGTCCTCAAAATGATGAATTCTCTTTCTTGGGTATAGTTATCTACCCTGACAT